CCTTCGCCCTGAACTGCTTGTAGCAGAACTCCTCGTAGTAGAACTCCTGCGAGTTGACGTCCTTCTTGATACCGTCGGCGAGGAAGACGTTCGCGTGCTTGGCGTCCTGGAGGGCGACCTCCTTGGCGTAGCGGACGTGGAAGGCGGCTGCGAAGGGGGGCAGGCGGAGAGAGTCAGCAAGCGGTAGCGCGAGCGGCGAAAGGCGGGAAGAACGAGGCGAGAACGAGCGGAACAAGGGACGGAGGGAGGGATCGGGGGGAAACGAGGAGGACGAAAGGAAGGGAGGAACGGAGAAAAAGCGGGCACGCACAGACTTCGGCGTAAAGGTTGCGGTAGCAGATCTCCTTGAGCGAGACAGCAGCCTCGGCGACAGCGCCGGCCGAAGTCGAGGCGCCGATGAAGCCTGCGAGCGAGGCAGGACAGTGTCAGTAAGAGCGGGAAGCGAGAGGAGAGAAAGGGAACGCACCCCCTCCGAGGTTGGCGCCGTAGCCTGCGAGAAGAGCGAGCGGTCAATGCGAGGAGGAGCAAAAGAAGGAGCAGACGAGACGCACCTCCGCCGTAGCCGCCGTAGCCACCTTCGAGACCCTTGCCGCCGACGAGGCCCTTGCCGCCGTAGCCTGCGAGAGGAGGAAGAGGAGTGTCAATACGAGTGGAAGAGAGGGAGAAAGTGAGAGCGGACGCACCTCCGCCGTAGCCACCGACGAGTCCACCGTCAGCCGTCGGAGCGGCGAGAGCAGTCGAGGCGATAGCAGCGAGGATGAGAGTCTTGGTGAACATGTTGGTGATGTCGAAGGAGGGCGGCTGCGGGTAGTCGAGGAGCGGAGAGGGCGAGGAGTGCGGTGAGGAGGAGACGGAGGGAAGAGGAGCGAGCCGCTTTTAAGGGTCCTGTCCGCCTCGAGGGTGGGACGAGGCGAGTTGGAGCGCAGTCGCATGAAGGGAGGAAAAAGCTGCGGTGCGACGGGGAGGCGAGAGTATGCGCCTGAGCTTGGCGTGCATGGACTCGGGGTCGGTAGCACCGGTAGCACGGCGGGACTTGCGAAGAGGGAGCGGAGGGAGGAGGTGGGACGGGGCAACTTGGCGAGGAGGGCGTTCAAGAAGCTCGTTGGGAAAGTGTGCCAGGCTCAGGGCAGTCATAGCGCCTCGAGAGCGCAAGAAATGTGCCAATCCAGCGCAGCGCAAGGCGTCTCGAGTCGAGTGCAAGCGGAGGAGAGGCGACGAGCGATGAGGACAATTAAAGCAGGCGGGAGGAGCTTGGGGAGTGCGCTGCAGCATCGCAAGGCCTCGAGAGCAGGGCAAAAATGCCGGCGAGCGCTCGCAAGGCGTCAATCTCGATGCGAGTGGAAGGGAGGAGGCGAAGAGGGAAAGCTGCTCGCGTCTCTCTCTCTCTCGCCTTCGCTGCGCGGAGTGCGTCAAAGTCGTTCTCTTTTCAGCCGCAAGGAAGAGGAAGAGCGAATGGGGCGAAGG